AATCCATGCTTCCACAAAGGATCCCAGTTTGCAGCGATTGGCCATCCAGCTCTCCCATCTTGGAACGCACAGCCGGGCAAAGGCCTGACAAGCTTGCGCTCTTTTCAAGAAGTGTTACAAACAATAAAACCACTTTCCCAAACAGTAAACAGTTAATGCATTCAAACAAACTCATGTTTCGGTCATAGCCTTATAGTGCCAGGGGCCCCATGGCATACGGGCTTTGTCATGGTAGTCCAGGTGCAACTCCTTCACATTCGTCCGATCGTGCCTAAGATTGCGTGCGGTCACACTGACGTAAGCTTCAAAACGCGCTTGCACATTTTGCATGTTTGAGGTTCCTAAAACTTTTCGACGCACAAATCATATGTCATAGAAACATTGTGTTTAAGATATTCCAGTGCCAGAATGCAGGTCTTTCCATTGATTGTAGAATTCAGTGCGCCAAGCCATCCTTTTGAACGTAGCCAAATGCATCATCAGCTGTAAGAAGAAGGTCCTCAACTGATCCCCATTGAAATTGGCGGCGAGGAAGTCTCTGCACTCCATGGCTGACGTGGAACTGTTTGGATCCGGAAAAGCTTTGAAGCCACAGGGCTGAAACCGGCAAATCGTGGTAAATCTGGGCAAATCGTGGTAAATCTGGGCAAATCTTGGCAGATTTTGGCAACACTTAATTGATGAATATTGTTGCGCGCACCTTTTGCAACATGTTCTGCAGCACCCTTGCAGGCCCATGTCATCTTAGTGACAGGGCCTTGCAGGGTGTGGCCTGCGGATGATATTGTGGGTGAAAAGGCGATTGCGGCAAAGCCCGGCAAGGTCCATGTCATCTTAGTGACCAGGCCTTGCAGGGCGTTGCCTGCGGATATTATTGTTGGCAACAAGACTCCGGCAAAGCCCGACAATGCCCATGTCATCTTATAGTCACCGGGCCTTGCAGGGCATTGCCTACGGATATTATTGTTGGTGACAAGGCCTTCTGGCAAAGCCCGGCAAGGCCCAGTCATCTTGTGACTGGACCTTGCAGGGCATTGCCTGCGGATATTGTTGGTGACAAGGCCTTCCGGCAAAGCCCGGCAAGGCCCAGTCATCTTGTGACTGGGCCTTGCAGGGCGTTGCCTGCGGATATATTGTTGGTGACAAGGCCTTCTGGCATTTAATTTTCAAAGCCCTGCAACGGCCCAGTCATCTTGTGACTGGGCCTTGCAGGGCACTGCCTGAGGACATAAATTTAAATTAGCAAGGTAGCCATGAAACTGAGAACAGTATCGTCAGGTGTCGTCAATAGGTTCCATTCCACTGCGTACTGATCAGCAGCATTTTTTCCTGGAGACTCACGTGCTAATCACACGAATTGAATTACACCCCGCCGGCAATTTTTAATTGGCAGCGCCACCAAAAAACTGGAACGCTGACACACAGTCAACTGTCACATCACACGTTTTTAAACGCTTTAATGGACGTGGTGGACCCATCAGTTGTGGGTCGGCCTCCCAAATTTGGGACTTAAAAATGCGGACGTGGTAGCAATCAGGACCCACCAGTTGCCGATCTGTCCCCAAATTCATCTTTTCAAGCCGCCGTGCCAACTGCTGAAAGGCTTTGGCCTCACATTCCTGCACATTGACTGGGTAAGGACGAAAATGCAGAAATTCTTGGTCTTTATAACGCATCCATCCTCGTTCAGGCTAGCATTTGAACGTTGAATATGTTACTGTTAAGTTGAGGTCCAATAATTTACATGTTAATGGAGCTAGAATGCATCAACTGCACCTATCGCGATTTGATTTAGGAGAAAATGTTAAAATACATTTTAAAATGTTAAAATACATTTTAAATGTTAAGATACATTTTAAAATGTAAAAATAACGGATACGTTCAATGATTGAGGTGGGCAAGTGTTTTCCGAAGAATCCAGTCCTGCTCTTTAAAGTAGTAGCCATCGAGGATGGAGTCAATGATCTCGGCTAGGTACTTTATCTGAGGATTGTCTAATCGCATCGCGGCCTCATCAAGACATCAAAGTAACCCAACTTGAAAATATGACGGAGGTAATCAAGAAATTAACAATATCAAAAGTAATCCAAAGCCCAGGCACGTCTTTTCAATCTAGTCTTTGTCCAGACTCTCATGCCCTGAATGTCATCAGGTGATTGTCGATAGCACCTTCCCAAAGTAGCATCGAGGTCGTCAGCCATCCTCAAAACCCTTGAGCCGCAAACTGCAACAAAAACAATCAAAGCAAGTCCAAGTCAGCTTGATGTATCAAGAACGAAAGTTTGTCTGCCCAGCTGCATGCGCATCAAACCGCTCTAACACCACCTTGTTGCTGGATATGTTGTTTCACTAATGCATTTTCGTCGGAGGCCTACCCGGCCTAACCAAATTAACTTGAAAAACATGGCAAACAATTTTAATGGAGATACACGTGAACTCAGCAATGCAGGGATGGTTGGTTGACTGGTAAGCCCCGCAAGGCCCTGCAAAGTTGCAGGACCTTGCTGGGCTATGCCAACCGGACGACCTGCCAACCATGCAAGGAAAATCGCATCACATTTTTTTCCGTCTCTCCAGTCCAGGCAGCACTCTCCAAAGTCAGACTCATGCCCACACTGCCGTCCTTTCATGCGTGGGATCCCTAATTTTGTAGACAGCATCTGGAAGATGGCCGGACGGTGGAGTCAGCTCCCACTGATCCTCAAAGCTAGGGACCAGCCCTGCCGCAACCAAGGCCCTCCCACTAATCCTCATGACCAGGCTGATACTAAAGCCATCGCCCAGCGTAGCACCGATCTCACTTTTCGAAAAATTTTGCAGCAAGTCATCAACCATAGGTTTGGGCCATCCTTGGAGAGCAGCGATTTCCCAAACATTCATCCAACGTTTCAGCGACATGAGGTAATGCCCGTTGTTGCCTGCCCTTGCCTTTGTCAAACAAGGTGACACATTCAACATGACCGACAAGAATCCCTTGCCAGCATGGGCATCGCAAATCAGCATTGCATTGCGCTTGGTGTACTCAGCCTCCTGGAACTTCTTCTTGGCAATCTTCCAAGCCGCTTCAATGTTTTCCCTGCGACCAGGACTCACACTTTCCTCCTGAGAAACGTTGTTCACCAAAAACCTGTCGAAAGAATGGCAAGGGAGGCAAGTCGGCCAAACGAAGGGTGCCCCCAAACGACTCTTGAGCACAGCAACCACAAAGACCCGTGGTCTGTGGTGAGGGATGGCTCCATGAGTGCAAGTGTCAAGGACCTTGGCTTTGACTGAGTAGCCTGCTGAGCGCAGCACTTCAGCCAATGCATCAAGCACGGGCCGGTTACGTTTGTTGACCAGGCCCTTCACATTCTCGAAAAATGCCACGCGTGGCGTCTGCGTCAACACGTAGTCGACACTGTGGAGCAGCACGCTTCCACGTGGGTCTGATAGACCACCACCTTTTCCTGCTGTTGAAAACGCAGGGCAAGGGGCGCCAGACATATAAATGTCGCATCTTGGCGCGGCAGCATTGTCTCTGCTAGTGATGTCGTGATAGACCACTTCCTTGGTTGAGCTCGCGTAAGCAGCAAGCGATGCAATTGACGCATCATGTGTTCGAAACAAGTTGCAACCAAGCTTCTGGAGTATCACCGAAATGTGCATGTACTTGCAGGGACATTTTCCTTCTTGTCTCGCAAATGTCCTTCATTTTTTTGACAAGTCAAGACCAAAAATGACCGCTGAAAATTTGCAAGGCACATCAAACACCAAAACTAAAACTTCAACTGATAATAAACAAGCCAAGTATCTGATATGAAAGCCGTCTGCAACTTCACCGATGCTCCAAGCGCGAACTTGAGGGCAACGAAGTCCGAACTGAGACCTGTGCAGTCTGAGCCAAGCTTGATAACCTTGCCTGAGCCGGCTCTCTGTCCAGCATTCGGTACCTTCTCCGCCCGTTCTCTCAATGACTTGATGAACTCCTGCGCAAATTTCCTGGGCGAGCAGCGGCTGTCAACTTGCATTGAATTGGCATGACTTCATATTCGACCACAAACATTCTGAATTATTCGGCACGCGCAGCCAACAAACTCAATTATCATGCAAATGGTGCAAATCCAGCATGTTAAATATTTCACAGCTTTTGATTCATTATCTTCTCCTTAAAAATGAAAATAACTTCAAGTAGCATGCTTGACACCAGCTAAAAGTTTATAAGTGAATCAAGTGTCTTCTGCGCCTCTGCGCTGGGCTCTTTTTTTGCTTTCTCAACTGATTTCGGCGCAGTCTTCGATGATTTCGCTGCCGGCTTCTTCAAACAATGCTTCTTGACTGGAGGTCCACTCTGTGAACTTGATGCAGGCTTCTTCAAACAAGTCTTCGCCATCTTCTCGGGTGTATCTTTCCGTCCTGCATTGCTCTTCATCCGCTCAGGTTTGGTGACTTTCCTCTTCATTGGCTCAGGTTTGTCAACCCTCTTCGCATCACACTCTGCCCAGTCAAAGTCCAAATCCATTTTGAACTAATTAAATCCTCTTGAGAGTAAAGGGCAGATCCAAATCATTGGAGGAAACTTGCATGCAGGGCAGCTCCAGGATTTCCATCAGATCTTAAAAGTCTTTAAATTGAAGTGCCTTGGCTTTCTAAATTTGTCTGCTGGTTAGTTCCGAGAACCCGCTTCCATATTTTTCCCCAGCGATCGAAACCGGTGCCTTATTGTTTGACAAAATGGCAGTCACCCGGGCTGACTGAGTCATCAAAACTCAAGCGCCGGCTCAAACAAGCCAAGGCTAAATTGGCCACTTCAACAATGATATATAATATATTTATATTTATAAATATTTATATGGATGTTATATATATATATAAATATATATAAACATAATATATAATATATATATAACATATTGCTGAAATCGCAGTTCAACTTTGAATGCAACGGCATGTTATATGTTAATACGGTGTATGGGGTAATCAGTTCAAGTCGGCCAATGGTATCCCATCATCCAAAGTTCTACTCACTTCGCCTCAGTCTCTGAAGCGGAATCCGAATCTTCGAGCAACTCTTCCTCGTCTTTCTTCTTGTTCTTGGGCTTCTTGGGTGGCTTGGGCTGAATCTTGGGATCGGATTGATTCTTGCGTTTTTTCTCCTCCTTTGCCGTCGTGGCAGAGTCTGACGCAGCAGCCCACTCAGGGCTGTAGTAAGTTGATCCTTCAGACCTCATCTGCATCTTGATGAACTCCACCAGCTGTGCCTTGAGCAAGGAGCAATGTTGGTCCGTCATTCCCAATCCCAAGTACGGCACGCGGCGAAGCAAACATGCCCGTGCAAGATCTCCACATCCCGGAGTCAGATCCAGGCAACCACGGACCTCATATGCCCCAATGGCATCTGAGTACAAGGATTCGGGGAGGTGATGGTAAAAGGCTGGTTCGAAGCTGTCGTCAGATCTTTCCTCCTCCTTGCCATCCTCAACTGCGACATCGGAGCCGCCCATCATCTTGGCCCCGTACATGTCTTTCCTTTTTTTGGCAGATTCAGAAAAACTTCAAAAAGAAGTGCTTTAAATCATAGATACCGTGGTTCAATGATCAATGAAAAAAATAGTCAAACGAAGGTGCCCCCATTTAATGACTCGGCGAAAGAAAACAGAAATTTATCACATGGTTTCCATTGCCAAAGGTCTTCTGCCCATAGGTCATTGTCCATTCATCTGCCTGGCTTCCCAACCCGATCCATCCGATGCAGTTGCCACGGTTGGTCCCGGGGTACTTGGTGTGCTTTCGCTCCGGAAGCCAAGACGCCAGGGACTCTGTGGATACAACGTGCCAGCGTTGGATTTGGTTGGTCATTCCACGATTGAGCTTTCTTTTCGATTCAACTGATTCCTGACTGACATGATCCAACAACCAGAACCTGTACAACTAAGCATAATAAAATAATAAAACAATAATAAAGCATTTGCATTTTACACACCTGTCCTGACTCAAGCAAAGGGTGACCTCAGAAACTTCCAGATAGTGAGCAAGAGCCGCACCTTTGGCGTCCTTCGTCTTGAATGGGGACAGCAATATGTCAACCACGTTGCGACCTCCATCATTCAAAAAAATGAAATCTCCATCCAACGGTTTGTCATAGTGGTCCGGGCCCACCTTTTGGTTGGGAGAGCCACCCCTTCCCTTGATCGCCCCGTGGACCAACTTCTTCAGAAGGGCTGCAGTGAGAGCAGGCGCTCTTCTGTCAGGTCTTTTCACGGCTTCTGCGAAAAGCTGTACGTCAAAGTGGATCATGATGCAGCTTTTGCCTTGAGCACCTTGGTACTTGCCAGACAGCTGGCTCTCTTCAATCACCCGAGCAACACCTGCCAAAGTTGGAGGCTCAACAACGAGGGAAACATAGATCTGCACTTGTTGCGCAGCCGTCGCAGTGTAGTGCCTAGACTTCGGACCATCAATAAAACCGGTAAAACAAAGCCAAGTTAGTTATAAATGATATGACTGATTGATATTTTTTGAATTCGATTGCCATGAGTTTGCCTCCTAATTTACTACTTATTTTCAACAACAAAAAACTAATTCCAAACCAGGGCGCTGCGCGCTCCCCCTCTGGTACTTTGAAGGTTCAGCTTGAACTGAGCCAAGGGCTATCTTCTTGCACTCGTCCGTCTCCTCCTCCACCTCCTGGTCCTTTTGCTTGCCGTCAAGAGCTCGTTCAGCTGCGATCTCATTGTCTTTCGCGGCAACTGCGGCCTTCCATCGGAGGCTGAATGTTTCAATCTCCATCAGTTCCAATGGGCTCGCACCCTTGCCTTTGCGCAGCAAAGCGATCATAGCACCATTCAAATTTGTTGTGTAGAGGATGTCCTCCACCAACTTCAAGCAAGCAATGCTGCTACATTTGAGGGTGCTCATCCATTTGTTGTCGGCCTCTCTGTTACCAGCCTTCCCGGGAGTGACGTAGACCCGGTAATCTGAAACGGTCAAAATCTTCTGCTCGATCATCTTCAAGTCAGGCACGTGAAACTGGCTGCGCGGCATCTCAACCTAGGACAGGATGGTAACACCACGACCAACTAAAAAGCCAAAACATCTACACATTTTTTTTACATCCCCTGGCCTGGAGGAAATGCTTGACTGTTTGGAGCTTGAGCTTCAACAGTTCAACCAATGATGCATTGGTGCCACTTCCCTGCAGGTAGGATTTGCTGATGGTTTCCCGATCGATCTGTCCATTAATCACCATGTCAGTGATCACTTCCATGACCCATTGCCTGATGGACACTGACATACGCAACACAATGACTTGCTAAATCGTTTATATAAAATGTGTACATGTTGAAAATTAAGTTCGACTTGTCATGGTTGAAACCTCCATCCATGATCCTGCCTGGTTGGAGTCGATTCTGACTTCTCAATGATCACTCGCATTTTCTGAAGTGAGTTCAGTGGGGAGGACAGGCCATACTTCTCTTCCAACACGTCCAAGCAAGCGTTGCACACTGGATCGCTCAGCATCTTCTCAAACACAAAAATGCAGTCCTTCACGAATCCATCCGCCATGTCTGTCCGCTTGCTTGCGATTGCCATGTCCGACTGGTGCAAGGCAAACAAGTCGCTCAAATCTTTCACTGACAAGATTTCGCCAGACTCGGCTTCCTTCTGTGCTTTCAGAGATGCAACTTCGTAAGCGAGTTGCCTTGCGGTTCGGCGACAGGCCTCATAGTTTGCAACCACTTGCTGGCGCTTTTTGAAAGCTTGCCAAAAAAGCTGGTCCGGGCCGCCATCCATGAGAATGATCATCACGGGACAAGACAAAATCATGGTGCGCCACTGATCCAAACCAGCATCGTCAACCTGACGGATCAAGCGTAAAAAACGCAAACTGACTGACGAAAAAACAAAACAAAACTTCAAATCTTTAACCACCCGCCTCGCCAGAATCGATTGCGGCAGCAAGAGTGAAGATTATGCAGTGATGCATTTCTTCTGGGGACACAGGGCGCCAATTGCCCTTCAAAGCGTGAAAGTCGGTGTCAGGGGCATCCACACCCACGCAAAAGCTGTCGGCCAAATGTGCTGGCTTGTAGCCGGGAAACGCAAATGAACCCAATTCCTGGACCCGCTTCTTGGATAGTGGCACGGTTGGCGTTGGGCTGCCAAAAGGGTCTAACCAAAAAAGGTTAATGGCACTTCTGTAAGCGCCTTCCTTCTGCAGTGCGATCTTCGCTTCCTGCTGGTTGAACACCGCCTCGTCGCAAACATTGAGACTTTGAATTGACATGGATCCTCATTGCTTGGTTACATTAAATCAACCTTTCAAAGACAATTTACCAACAGTGGAATTGACGTAGTCACCAAGCATCAATTTCTAGCCCAGCAACGGAATAATATTCAGATGACAAGTTTGAAAATGAAATTTATTGGTCAACCATCTCACCCATCAACAGTATAGATAAACTCTAACATACATCGTGTGTTTAACTGACTGAGTCGAGTGATGGCCTGCACGCCCGACGAAGCGTCAACTCCATCAGTGATGGCAAGCGGTTCGGCAACCCGGATGTCGGAGAACTTCGGGCATTTCAAAATGGTGTTGATCGCCTCCATCAGCGACTCATAGTAGCCCTGGTTCTTTTGGGCGTCAGCGGGCATGTTGAGATTGGTCAAAGCAGGCTGCCCAGGCATCCCGCCTGCAGCTGCAGGGGGGTTGCCAGCCTTTTTGGCTTGACTTCTCTGCATCTTTGCCTCTTTCATTGCCTGACTGACGCGCAAACAAAAGACTTTTCACCAAACCCGTGTTTTTTTTTTTAAAGGCGAGCATGGATCAATTTAAAACATTAAACGATGATCTATTAAATTAAGTTCCATCCCAAGCGCCTTCACCTGTACTTCCTTTGCCTGGGCTGCTTGCTGCTGCGCTTCATTTTTGGTCTTTCCTGCTCTGATAAGCTGCACAACCAAAGCTTGCTCCTCGTCGTCCACCTTTTTCTGCTCGGACTTGTTCAGCTTCCACTTGCTGTAATGCTCCGGCATGATGCCCACTGCTATCAGCAACGACAAATTGCTCTTGACCCTTGATGTGGAAAAGCGGCAATGAAATATTTGTTGAAGGCTCTGGAGTTCCAACACCAAACTGAAAACTGTGTGATGTCTTATTAATCATATCAAGTGATCTGATTTTAGTTATCTTCAATTTTTGACTTCAAGGTTCTGACATCATACTAAATTTTCTTTAACCCAGACATGCATAATCGGTGGCAGCTGCCTCTCACTGTTTTCAACCCGACGATGTTCCAGCTTAACTCCATCGGTTTGAGACCTGGCACGAAATCAACATCAATGACAAGACAACAAAATTACACAAGCATACTGTCTAAACAACTGCAAACACATAAGGTTAATCTATTTAATGAAGTAAAACATGAACCTAGGAATGAATTCAAATTGCCTATCTCACATCATTCGTCGTTATTATGTTTAAAATCTGATTTGACAAAGCAGTTTGAACCAATAAAAGACACTTTAAAGCAAATCAGGAGTATCATAATTATCAACAGTGCAATCAAGCCCTCTGAAATTTTTCCCCGGCGTCAGTCTAGCCGTCAATGACAGTGACGCATCAACAAAAAAACAAGCCCTCGGATTTGCCGTGCGGCGAGGGGAGCCCCCCCCGTTAGGGGGGGGCCCTCGCCAGGCGAACCTGGCTTCGTCCGGCGAGGGGACCCCCCCCCGTCAGACCCGTGCGGCGAGAGGACCTCCTCCCGTTACGGGTCCGTAACGGGAGGAGGTCCCCTCGCCAGACGAAGCCGGGTTCGCCTGGCGAGGGCCCCCCCCTAACGGGGGGGGGTCCCCTCGCCGCACGGCAATGCCGTAAAAAAGCTGGCTTCATCCGGCGAGAGACCGCTGTATAGCGGTTGCGCTTTTGACCGCCGTATAGCGGTTGCGCTTTTTTACTTTGACCAATGATATTTTGATTCTAAGATTTAAATAATTTAATATATTAAAGATGATTAATAATTTTTAATTTAATGGCACATGGCCAAAACGACGACGACACTGAACTGATGAACTTGAAAACATTGGAACATCCCCCCGGGCCTCAACACTGTAGTAGGCAACGGCAGGCTTGAGAATGGGCCAATGAGTCCTGGGGCAATTGGCATTTCACGCGCTTGAGAACTAGATATTTAATCATAGATTGTCGGCAAGTGAGTGACTCAGTAAAAGGTCTTTTACCCCTATGCCGGATTGCTGGTTCAGTTCTAGATATTAACCTCTGGCTCTTCTGGCCCAGGTCTGATCTTGCAAAAAGTTACAGCTCCAGGGGTCGGTCTCCACGCTTTTGGTTTGTCGTACTTCCTGATGTCCCTGATCATCCATGCGAACATGTTCTTGTACCCGTTGATCACATCGGGCATACTGTTCTTGTCAAAGCCGACCTTCTTTGTATTCTTCGCGTTCAGAAAAAATTTTTCACATGTTTCTCAGAGTTGGACGCCGGCTGCCACACACCACCACGCTTGGACCCAACTCTCAAGCATCCACTCAGCCGGATTTCCCCAAGCAAAACGTTTGCCTTGCTGCATGCCACGGCGACTATTTCTCCTTTCTTGTTGGCCGGAAGGGGGTAGGACCGCAGCTCCCAACTTTTACCTTCATTAAAAATCTTTTCGCACCATGGCTTGCGTATGAAGAGCGCGTACTGGACCATGGCAGCTAGGCCAGTTCAAGCTGGCTATTATACTTGGGAGAAGCAGCTGCCAAGTGTGTTGATTGTTTTTTTTGGCGAATTTCGGCTTAGACTCTTGGATCAAATCCGCTGAGGCTTGGTAACTCCGTCCGATTAATGCATCAAGTTGCCAAACCCGGCAAGGCCCAGCTACATAGCTGGGCCCTGCATGGGCGTGGTATCTTGTGGTAAGTTGACAAGTGTCCTTTAATTTAAATTTTAAGCATCGATTTGCCAAACCCGGCGGGGCCCAGCTAAGTAGCTGGGCCTTGCACGGGCCTGGTTCATTGATGGCAAGTTGATCATTGATGCATCAAGTCAGTACATCGCTTTGCCAAGCCCGGCAAGGCCCAGTTATGTAGCTGGGCCTTGCATGGGCCTGGTAAATGGATGGTAAGTTGAACATCGATGCATCAAGTTAATACATCGCTTTGCCAAGCCCGGCGAGGCCCAGCTGCGTGGCTGGGCCTCGCGTGGGCCTGGTAAAAAGATTAGATGGTAAATTTTGAATTGACCATCGATCCATCAAGTTAATACATCGATTTGCCAAGCCCAGGGGGGCCCAGCTAACCTTGCCTGGGCTTGGTTTAAATTAATTTTAGCATTGATTTACCAAGCCATTCAAATGTCAAGTTAAGGGTGGGCGGCGCTCTCTTTTTTTCCCATGACCATCCCCTTCATGGCAGTAGCGAAGGTTCACCCTCTGAACACCCCGGACGTGTGCAAGTCCATCCGAGAAATTTTATCTAGGAAGGAAACCTTGCACAAAAGACTCGGATCATGTTGACACTCAGCTTTGGTCGCCAAGACAAAACTAGCTTCTTGTCTAGTCTTCGCGAGCTTCCAGTGGCTGAACTTCACAGGCTTGTTCAGCAAAGACCTGACATTCTTCTCAAACTCAGGGTGTTGGTTCTTGAACTCGGCTGTGAAGAAACATGTTCGAGAGGTCCCACATGCTCTTTTGAATTTCACCTTGAATCCTTGCTGGCCATTGAACAGGCAGGCGTCCATGACAATCAAACCAAGTCCAGCCGCAAAAAGCCTGGCCCTTTCAGGCATGTTGGCGGCATCCTTGACGATCAATGCATCTGCATCTGTTCGTTCCTTGGTTTTTGTGATGTTGAACTTTGGCAGTGCTACGTCCAACTTGTCTTCTTGAATGTCTGAAGCTACCCAAGCAGTCTTGCCGCTCAGATGCTCCCACTCCAAGGGGCCATGCATCTTGTCAGCAAAAGATCGTTGCACCTTGCCCTCACGCACCAGCAATTTGTCTCGCTCCTTTTCTTTGGCAAGCGTTGTTTCAACCGCTTCCTGATCCACCTCAGCCTCCTGGAGTAAACCCTCTTGGTAGGCTGTGACCATGTGCTCTCTTTGTTTCTTTTTCTGGAATTCGAACTCCTTCTCGTGGGCCTCAGCCCAAAGTTCATGGCTGGGATCTTCATCCAAATTGAAGGAAAGGCTTTGATCCCAATCTTTCTCCACTGCATTGGCCACACTGTCCCTCCTTGCTCTTTTGAACGCTGCCTCTGAGCTTGATGGGTCCTCATTCGTCTTGGGGCGCTTGATGTCTTTGTCGATGCGTTCGCTCTTTCGTTTGCGACATGCGCCTGACAGGGCTGAAGTGAATTTGCATGAGTCTAATTTCATTATGGCCATCCCCACACTAATCAACAAACTTAGTTTCCCGCAGTTTCCCCAACTTATGCGCCTGGCATACATTTCATGTACAACTGCTGCGAGTCTCGTAGAATCACTTCGAGCTCTGCAGGAGTGAAGTCACAAAGCATCAGTTTCATTGCCCGCTCTTCAAACACATCACTTGCAGGCGTCTGTCCAAATGCATTCTTGCGCTCACCTCTAGCGAAGTTCTGCTCCACGCCACTTGTGCTCGCCTGCCATGCAAGATAGCGACGCATCACTGGAGCAATGTCAGCTGTTGGGTAGGACTCCTGGCAAGTCAAAATGATAAGTAGGAAACTCCAGCGTACAAAAAATCAACGTTGAATCGAGTGGCTGAGCAGTCCTGCATAGAATTTCGCAGGTGAGTAGCTTTCATGGTCGCTGTCCAAGCCTCTCGGGTTCCACCATTGGTGTCTCTGCATCGCTTTTCTGCCAGGGGGCGAAGGCGGTGTAGCTGCTCCTGGAAGCCGCCCGAGCTCACCCCAAAGAACTTAGCCAAACGCTCTACACTGCTGTCGGCCGAGCTCTGGAAGAAGGTGTCTGTTTTGGACACTCTTTTCAAAGAAAACACCTCAGAAACTGCCAGCAAACACCGAAACATGTAGAGAAGCAAACGCCGAAAATTAACAGGGATCGATGGGCAATAAACAGAGTGTTCATTATTAATTAAAATAAGTAGTCATTGATCCATTTTCTCGCAAAGGCGCTCCAAAAGCAGAGAAAATTCCATAATGCGGAAATTCTGTACGAAGAACTTCCAAAGCCATCCGAACCCATACCTCCATGTTCTTGAAGCATTGGTCGATTGACTCATCCTGACAGGGCCCCAAGCGGCAGGCAACACCACAAGCGAAAAACTTCAGCTTCCCCTCCGCGAGCAAGTCCATCACAAGCTTCGTGTATCCCATTGTCGTCAGTATAGCCTTCTGCACAATCAGCATCTGAATCCGATCAGCAAAACTCTGCACGTAGTTTCCAACTTCAGCGCTGTCGCATTCCTCGTTGTCAACCTGCCTGATGAGCAGCAGGCTTTCATCCATGACGTCAGCCACCATACCAAGCTGCAGCAATTCTTGGGCTGCTAGATTCTGCAGCCAAGTTTGCAGCGCTGAGCCTGTTTGATCCTTCCTGGCCTGGATGATCCGTTGCACGGTGGCTAGCACAGCAGGGAGGTTGCTCAAGAGTCGGCAAAGCGGAGCGGTGTGGGACTCGAAGCGGTGTTTGGCCTTGGATTGTCAATATGTTGAATCTCACTTTGCACGTCAGCTCCAAAATTAAAAACACAATGGTACTAACTGATCATTCCCATAACGCAGTTGAAGCCGAGATGATGAACAAGTTTTAGTACCGGACCAAAAATGCATCCACGTGGCTGATTTCAAGTTGTGGCAGTGGACATTCCCGTTCACCAGCTTGGCCACCTCATCATCAAACCATTGCCTGAAGATGAACGAACCATCTATGATTCTCACTGGCGAATTTGCGCCCAAGACATGTTCTGCCATCAGCGCAGACAAATGGTCGGTGGCTTTGAAAGGCCTTTGAATCACGCGGCGAAATGCATGCGCGTGATCTCTTGCAACCAGCTTCAGGCATGGAAGAAGGATCTGTGCACCTGGTCCTTCGATGTTTGGGTCTCTTGCTCCCCTTGTCACATTGCTGGCCAGCAACTCGTTAGCTGCCGCGTCTGTCAAAATGATTTCAACCCGTTTCCTCACTTTATCAAAAAGACCTTCGTTGAACTCAGGCTTTGGACCAGCATAGTACCTGGGAGGATCATTGTACTTGGTGCAGAAGCGTTGCAAAACTTCCCTTGTTGCGCGTGCCTTGGTGCATTTGAATCCAAGCCCAAAAGAAAATTCATATATATTTAGAAACAAATCGTCATACAAGAAATTTTCATTGCAGTAATTAAGACGGGCGGCGATGTCACCTCCGGTGTCTCCAAACCCCCGAACCATTCCCAAAATGCCGAAGCGGGTGTCGTATTTTTCCTTGCAGACGCATCTCAAAAAATGACATCACATTGACGCTCGAACATGGCTTCTCCTATATTATCATTATCATAGTTTATCAGATTCATATAAGTCAATCACCGACAAACTAAGATAGCCCAAGCGTCAGTGCAGCCGCCAAAACGACAAAGCAATCGCTGTCGACGGCCATCCCTGGTCAGGCTGATGGACGCGCACTTTTCCAAAAAAATGCGGTCCTGCTCTGCCACAACCTCGTGGAGGCACCATGCCATCAGCGAAGCCTTGTCTGAGCTTTGGCCTTTGAAGTCCCCGCAACCTGCTGACAGGTGCAAATCCAAGGCAGAAACATTATTAAGGAGGCCAAAAAAAAAACAAAATCCAGGGGTAAACTAACCAAAGTCTGATTTAATTGGTTTTGAAGCGCTTCTCATCGAAGAGCCAGATTGCAGCTTCTTCAGGAGGCTCTCAAATTCTTCCAGTGGTGGGGCGCCGGGAACATCGACCCCAATTCCAAGCATCATCTTGACCGCATCAATATGACTCTTGCACTCTTGGTGCTTTTGCAAGAAGCAAGCCCGGAATTTGGGCACCAGACCAGCAGTAGCTAAGCCCCACTCACTTCCAGTGTTAGCTTTGCTGCAGGGAAGGCACCCGCAACCAGATTTGGCACCAAAGACCCAAGGCTGATTTGCAAGTTGTTGGGCTGCTGCAGTCTGGGGCTTGACGCCTTTGGGCAAACAGTTGCCAATCAGAAACTTCTTTTGCCACCCTTTCCCAAGTCTTTGCCACCTCTTGACAAACATCTGGCGCATCTCCTTGGCATCAATGTCAATGTCGGGCGGTTCCAACTTGGTCTGCTTCGTCGGGGTTTCCACTGCCGAGCCCCCGTCTAAGCTGCTGCAGGCTGAAAAGGACAAATCAGTGTCAGGTTCCATCATGGCTGCCGCTGACGAAAAATAATAACCACTAGTCGTCGTACGGTGTGAGTTCACAAAAATTGTTTTATCCAATGTTACCCTCTTAACATGCGCACCAAGTTGACCAAAGCTTTGGTTGAAGTTACCCTCACATTAAAATATGATTGACCGCATGTGTCCATTGCCAACTCTGACCGAGATTGAAATTGCTGCAGGGCGCATGTGACTTCACGCAGGGCTACACCGTGTCCCAAACCTGTCTCCCCAACCGATCAGTGTCCTTGATCGCATTGACGATTCACTGTCCATCGTCAGCCTCGAGCCAATGATGAAAAGTAATCACAAATTAAAAGGATGAAACTTGATTCAATACTGACGACAAGACGACAGCAGTGATGACAACATTAACGACAAAACTGTCTGGATGCAACGCAAGCAACCCCTTCAAATCGCCGCGCACGCTTCTGCCTTGCAGGCCAATCCAATCTCATGACACAACATTACGGAAAATCAATCAAGTCAACTCACAAGCCAACGAAACTTCATCTTAAACATGTTTTTAATTTAGCTCCAGCCACCTGTCATCTTTTCCAACGGTGCGGCGGGTAGCCAACTTCTGCAGCTCCAAATTGAGGTCCCTCAGCTGCGAACGGTATGATGAAGAAAGGACATTTGCATCCACAAAGTCCAAAATAAGAAACTGCAAATGAGACGAGACACTCTCCGTCGTCATTGTCATGGTCCAAGTTTGCCTCCTCACTGCCATCGTCCTCCGCCTTCTCTTGCTTCACTGTCACCTTGCCTCTCTCCGCCTTTTTCTTAGCCTTTGCCTTTCTGCGGCGGTTCTTCCTCTCCTGGTTGGCCATGGCATTGAGCTGAGGGTCAGCATTACCCTTTCTCCAGGCTCTTTCAATCGCTGCTCCAGTCTTCGGCTGAACCCAATCTCCGCAGAGCTCTGAAAGTTCTCCTCAGAGCTCAAAGATGACTTGATAATTCCATCAAGCTGCAAATTGAATCCCTCAAAAACCCGACGAAAACAAAAACACGCAAACAGAACAAAATCAAAGCAAAACAAAACAAGGAAAACCGAAAAACAGAGCTCAAAAAAACGCAAACAGAACAAAAACAAAACAAATCTGAAGCTTGACAAGGCACCGACCACAGTCAAGGCACGGACGTGGCTGGGGGTCGACATCAGCTGGTAGAATGCCGTCTGCAGTGACCCATTGAATGCCGGCCAGTTAACGCGAGGAATTGTGACATCCTCCGTCGGCAGGTCCTCGTACAACAGCTCGCCACACATCATCTCATACCTCGGAATGCGTAACATGTCACAGAAAAAAAACCGCCCACAGCAAAACTCCTTCCAAAATTGACCAGCAAACAACTTCATAATTATCTTCAGAATTAGTTGCAACACGCATCCCAAGCCCCAAAGATCGGCTCTGATTGTCATGGGGACAACCGAATTCCAGATATCATAGGGCAGGTAATTGGGTGTTCCTGCCACAGTCACATTCGGCCCCATCTCCACTGTCAAACCGAAGTCCCCAATCTTTGCAATGCTGCCGCTCACAAAGATATTACCGGGTTTTATGTCCCGGTGTATCAGCCGCCTGCTGTGCAAGTGCATCAGGCCGGACGTGATGTGCTTCAGGAATTTCCCCGACATCTCCGGCGGCAAGTGACCCAAGCGGTGCTTCTTGATCTCTGTATGGAGATCGCCATCCAAAAGCTCCATCTCGATGTACCTGATGCCTTGGCTGAAGGTAGTTATTTTAACATTGACAATGTAACACATAAGTGCCAAAAAACAACATGCACCAAAATGAAAAATAAACGTCCACTGAACAATGACAATAATAGCGCACTCAAACCGAAAAAAAGCCACTGCAGCCTCCCTTTGTGAAGTCTCCACACCCATAAATCGGCACTAGGTGGGGGTGGCGCAGGGTCAGCATGATCTTTCCTTCCCGCGCGGTGGCTTTGGAAAAAGCCAAACCTGAATCATGATAAAAACGCATGAGTTACCATTATTTGGCTCATTGACAGAGACGAATAAAATTAACAACGAGAAATAATAAATGTTTCGCCGCCATGGCGGGCCATGGCCTCCTTCAGAAAGACATCGCCTTCTCCGCTGGCCATTGGCAATGCCAGCTTCAAAGCTCTTGCCGACCGGTCACGCACTGTGACTTTGAAGGCCGCGCCCATGCCACCGCGTGCCAGCAGTTTGGCCGTTTTGCAGCGGCCAAACTTCAGGACACGCGCCACCCACCTTCTCTCCTCCTCCCTCTCTTCCTCAGAATCATCTTCCATGGCTTCGGCTTAAGCCACCGACGCGATGCCGACCGAAAGTTCAAAGTAAAATTTGAATTGGGTTCGGTGTCTTAGAATGTGATAGGTTTGAATTTCGAATTTGTCTAAGTGTTCCAACTTGCTGTGATTGGCGTCGGTAAGACAACGCAGGCAAATTAAATCTTGCAAGGTGTCATTAATACAGATGTGGCCTACTGTTACTGGCTGTGATTGTTGTGGGTAAGGGTATCATTGCTGTATAAAGCGGAACGCTGTTATAATAGATTTAAATTAGATATAATCATTAAATTATCAAATTTGGAATTTCATCAACCCAAAAGCTGACTTAAAATTTGGCTTATCTTAATTAAATGCTCCCCCCGGGCCTCAATCCAGATTGAATCTGCAGCGGCAGGGCATTGATTGAATTGGTCCTGGGGCAATTTTAATTTTGGCTTGATATGACAAACTCAGTGTAACCATATGCCGGATTGTAAATAAAGGGCACTTGACAAACTCAGTATTAAAAGTGTTTTTTCTCCCGGTATTACAGCAAGCTTCTAAGCCTAGACATTATTCTCATGGCCCAGATTTAATTTTGTAAACTCCAGATTGCTGGTTCAGCAAGCTGCTAGAATTGAACATTATTATGGCCCAGCTTTAATTTTGCAAGCTCCAGACTGCTGGTTCAGCAAGCTTCTAGATTTGAATATTATTATGGCCCAGATTTAATTTGCAAGCTCCAGACTGCTGGTTCAGCAAGCTTCTAGATTTGAAGATTATTATGGCCCATATTTAATTTAATTTTGCAAGCTCCATGGCCATGAAACAAAACAAAACGTCGCTGTCAATCTGCGCCTTGTAAGTCATAGAAGTTAGTCTCTCAAGCCCGACAAGGCCCGGCAAGAATCTTGCCGGACCTTGTCGGGCTTAATCGCCACAGTCAGCTCAAGCCCGGCAAGGCCCAGCAAGAATCTTGCCGGACCTCATCGGGCTTAAGTTCGCCAATCTCTGCAGTCAGCTCACCGGCAAGGCCCAGCAAGAATCTTGCCGGACCTCGTCGGGCTTAAGTTCGCCAATCTATGCAGTCAGCTCAAGCCCGACAAGGCCCAGCAAGAATCTTGCCGGACCTCGTCGGGCTTAAGTTCGCCAATCTCTGCAGTCAGCTCAAGCCCGACAAGGCCCAGCAAGAATCTTGCCGGACCTCGTCGGGCTTAAGTTCGCGAATAATAAAATAATAGCTCCGAATCAGCTCAAGCCCGACCAGGCCCGACAAGAATCTTGCCGGACCTCGTCGGGCCTTAAGTTCGCCAATAATTTTCCACAGTCAGCTCAATCCCAATAAGGCCCAGCATACAATCTTGCTGGGCCTCATCGGGTTTGAACTTGAAATCACTGCATGGCCCAGACAAGGCCCGGCGTGACAGCCACCAGAACGGGCCTTGTCGGGCCTTGCTTTAACAGCGGGCCGCTGAACATGTTGCAGAGGAGCGCGTTCTGAATTATTGCAATTCAAGATCCACCAGCAAGATTTGCCGCCAAGATCTGCCAGAATAAAAAAAATCAGAACAATTGATGCTATTTCGAAATTCGGGGTAAATCAGTTTGGCATGATAAATCATTGAACTTAGTCATCAGCCTTTAAATGCTAACCTCTCCAAAACCTGTGCGCGGACATGCCGTAATAATCCACATTTCACTTCAAGCCCAGCAAGGCCCGGTCAGAAGCTGACCGGGCCTGGCTTGGGCTTTGAAGCGAAATGCGCTTCAGTGATTTAAGTGGAATGTGGCTTGACGAAGTCAAACTGACAGCAACTCAACGCACAACGGCCCTTTTTAACCCCACTCCCAATCAAAGTGTCGTACGCGGTCGAGATCCTGGGCCAGTCTGTGCTGGGTCATAGGTCTTCTCACTTTTTCTTCGGCGGGGGCACCTTCGTCTTGCCCTGGGACCGCTGGGAGGGCTTCTTGCGCGCGGCATTATAGTCCTTCTTCTTGTGATTGTCCTTGGGGTCCTTCTTGTCAAAATTGTCCTTGGGGTCCTTGCGCTTCTTGCTGTCCTTGGGGCCCTCAGCCTCGGCTGCCAGCACCTGGTCGCCGCCGATGCTGTCATTCATCTGGGGCGTCGCCTTCCCCCACACCTCGGTCACTGTTTTCTCATCAAAGCAGATCTCGATCTTGTGCAGCTCCCAGCTTTGGTTCTTCCAATTGTTAGCGGCTCCCATCCAGGTCTTCTTGCACACCGGCCCTGTCCATTCTGCAAAGCAATCAGCACTTGGAAAGGGGCCCTGCACCACTGGCATGGCTCAGGATGCTCAGGATGGTTCTTGACAAGACCAAAAATGCTCCCGCGGAACTAAAACATGCCAAACAAAAACCGTGACAAACATGGCCCTCCCCAAAAAACAAACACAGCACAAACATGACATGAACTGAACATGACAAGTGCCATGACATGACATAACATGACATGACAAGCAAACCGTGACAGGCATGGCAAAAATTACATTTATATTATATAACTTATATTAACCGCTTCAATGCATGAATCTATAAAATAAATGCAATTGCATGGATGACACCTAAGCTTAGCTTACAAAATTAACCCGCACAAAGTTAATCAGTTGTCAACAAACTGCGACCAAAAACTTAAAAAATCCCCTTGATTGAATTGTATTTGTATGAAATTGATATCCTGGTCCTATGTCATATGAGAAACAGTTGCATTTTATACAGGGAATGCTGTTTTCAATCCATTCTTTTAAGACGCGCAAAGTATTGATATGATTCAAAGCATCAAAGATTTGGGCAAGACCATTTTATAATCATGGTTTTTGAAAGCTTTTGAAGCAGCCAATGGAATATTCATTTTTGCACGCGTTTTCCGTATAATAAGCCGCCCTCGGTTCTGTATAAAATGAGTTAGCCGCACCATCGGGGGTAGTAATCAAGGGGTATTAATAATTATTATTTTTCGCCAAAAACTCTCACACTGAAGCTTTGAGTTGGGGGCATGCCCGCCGCTGGCCACTGCAAATCAACAAAAACGTTTTAAAGAACACCCGCCGGCCAGGTGAACACCCACCGTTCACCAGAGCATCTTTAAAATGAATGAGTTTGGTGAAAGCCACCGCCGGCCACCCAGAGCCAAGCACAAGGTTCAACCAAAGCATCAATTGACTAACAACCTCATTTGGGCTCCTATTTTTTTCAATGCATTTGTACTCAGCAGACTGAGTCACAGGCTCAGTATGACTTTGATTCATTGACAGGAGACGGGACTTGCCCATTGCTGGCCCCTGGCTTCGGAATGAATTTGCCCTTTGCCCGACCATGTCCATGGGCTGTCAAAATCTGACAGAGCAACCAGAGCAACCGCTATACAGCAGCAAGAACTGGAATGCTTTAGAGGAGGCCAGGTTGCCTTCAATCTTTTGCAGGCACATATCGATCGATATGACAAAGAAATGAAGGGACCCCCATGTCTGATGCTCCAGGATCTGATGCAAATCAGATTGCCGACGGAAACCGGAGAAGACATGTACAAACACCAGGGTCTTGATATGCAATCTAGCATGCTCCTTGGCCAGTCCACGAGCTGCATACTGTCCATGGCCTTTATTGGGGCCGGCATGAGACTGCAACACGAAGGCCGGAAGGTCTGCGTCAAACAAAATCACTGTTGGATCGCCGGCAGGGGCATCGGTTCTGCGGCCTTGGAGGAAGGTGAAAGCATTTCCCCTCTGTGGCTGCCGGGCAGCCCAACGCTGCTGCATCAGCGTTGCTTCAGGGGTTTGTGCCGGTGGTAATGGAGGTCCGTAGATGCGCAAGACCGGTGTCAGCGCCTTCGTGGCCCACCACCCCTGTTGCCGCATGGCAACGGTATGTGCATTGTCAATCTGGTCCAGCTCTTGGACCTTGTCGTCATCCAGAGGCGGGAAACACGCCTGCAGCACCTCCAGGCACGTGGGGACGAACTTCAAATGCTCGATCAGGCGTTGCCGGGAGTGGTAGATCTTGCAGCATGCATTGCACACATCATCAACAGCAAAGAACTTCATCACACGTCGGTATCCATGTACCCGCCCTGCATGGGTTGCCAAGGCTTTCCTACTTGCAAACGTTCGAGTGCAAGAATCACAGGCCCAAGTCTCGGCCTGGGTGACCTGCGTTACAGGCAGCACTCCGCCCCCCTCAACAAACGCACGGTCAAACTTCTTCTGCCACAAATGGTGTTCTGCCACTGCTCTGCGGTGACGTTTGCATGCTTTGGCTGCAGCACGCAGCCGCCCTTTCCATTTCGTATCCATGGCAACAAATGGGATCCATTGAAAAAGGGAATCACTGTCACCAGGCCCAAACGGGCGGGGATAAAACTGCCTAAACCATGCAAAAGACTGGGAACATGCCATGATCCAAGAGTGATGAGAATCCTTGGCAGCGAAAAGGCAGGTCCACAGTGCGGCTGGGCAATATTGCAAAATGCGCTTGATGTATCGCAATCTGGCTAAATGCAGTTGGTCACAAGGGGCCAGGATTTCGGCAATGCCAAACAGGTCAACGGTGTCAACATGGGTTGGTGCAGTGCCTAAAAGCAAGTGCTTGACCATGAGTCCCAGAGGCTTTCGCATATGATTTTGCCATTTCTGCCAGTCAGCGTCATGTGCTGAACACCATGTGTGGACATTGTAAAGGAGGCGCGACATGGACATGGCCTGGAAAGCCTTACCTTTGGTCTCAAGGGAGACATACTGCTTGCTGTACAAGGGTTTGGCTAGTGATCCCCAGGCCGACTTGGCTAGAGAAGCCCGGGTGTACACATCCCTTGAGCATCTCGGTGGGGCTTGAATCCAAGTGCCCAGGTGTTTGTAGGACTGCGTGACACTCAAACGAAAGTCGCGGTCATCGCCTTTCCAGCACAAAAAACCACCTTCCTGAGCGACTTGAAGCTTGACTTGTGTGGATCCTTTGCCAGCAATATGCCACAACACCTCTGTCTTGCCTTTGTCGAAGTTGAGCAT